CAGTCTTGTCCCTGATAATACGAAATCACCTGCACTCCATACAGCATACAGACCTTAATGGAAAGTTGGTGCTTGAAGTGACAATACAGATGGCGCCGTGTCAGATACAGTCCATAAAAGAAGTCACCAGCACTCGATGATATGTGTAAGAAGTAAACCACTTTTTATTAAACTGTCACATGCATCATACAGCCAACGTTTCGGGGCCACACAGGGTCCCATCTTCTTGGGGCAACCATCGAGTGCTGGTGACTTCTATTATGGTCAGTCTTGTCCCTTGCGCACAGAAATTTCTCCAGGTTCTCTGAATCTTTTGATGATATTATGTACTGTAGATAATAATATATTTAAAGTCTTTGCAATTTTACCTTGAGGAACATCATTCTGAAATAGTTTGACAATTTTTAGACGCAGCTTGTTACAGATTGGTGAACCTCTGCCCATCTTTACCTTCTGAGGCACTCTGACTCTCTAAAGGTGCCCATACACTGTACGATTATCGTACGAGAATCGCAGGAAATCCCACGATCGTACGATAATCGTACAGTGTATGGAAGGCGTGCAACCGTTTCTACTGTACGGTCGCACATCTTCCGTTGAACAAGCAGGCTTGAAAACCCGCCGAGAATCATATGATTCTCGGTGAGTTAGTGGCCTGCTTGTTCGACAACTGCCGAACGGGCCGGTGTGTGCGATGGTAGTAAGTTCGTAAGGTGTATGGGCACCTTAAGATGCTCTTTTTATACCCAATCATGTTACTGACCTGTTGCCAATTAACCTAATTAGTTGGAAAAAGTTCTTCAAGGTTTTCCTTGTTAGTACCACTTACTTTGTCAGCTTTTTGTTGCCCTGTCCCAACTTTTTTGAGATGTGTTGCTGCCATCATTTTAAAAATTACCTTTTTTCTTAGAATTATACATTTTCTCAGTTTAAACATTTAACATGCTTTCTATTTTCTATTGTGAATAAAATATGGGTTTGTGATATTTGCAAATCATTGCATTCTGCTTTTATGTAGATTTTACACAGCGTCCCAACTTTTTGGGTATTAGGGTTGTATAATTTTACAAACATCCAAGCATATCGAGTCATGTCAATGGCATGACAAATACATAGATTGGTTTACTTCATCTTCTTCAGTTGAAAAGATATTACATTAAACTAAAGCAAAAAACCCCCCAATAAAACACACAATATTGCTCACTGTAATTAATTGGATTTCATCATTCAAATATATGAAGGAATTAGACTGGCTTGTTTAGGCATAAGTTTTACTTTTGTAAGCCCAGGTTACATCTAATTTGTTGTCATAGACCACACCTTCACATTTCTTTTCCTGCCATTTTTGTAAACAAACCTCTTTGTATTTAATTACTCTAACCAGTGGTCCACTGTATGTGATAAAGTGGTCCTAATCACAAATTGTAGTTCAGCTTCCAATACTGGCTGTTAAAGTGAACCTCTCATATTAAAATGTTTAAAGAATAAAATAGTCCTGAAGTGTGCACATAGTTTTGGTTCCTGCAAATAGCTATGTTAGTTTACAATCCTTATGCTAGTGTTTGATCCCTTTGGAGACCATTGGGTACTATTCCCATGCTTTCCATGGAGCCCTGACCTCAGCCTAGGTTACGATTAACGCATACTAGACATGTGCGATTCGGACGAATTTTCGGAAATTCGGACATTTGGATGTATCCGAATTCTGAATTACAGATATAACGAATGCAAACGAATCTGAATTTCCATTTCCCAAATTCGGTAGCGGTAGTTCGGTCGAACGTTCGTTTCGTTTTTCGTTTCTTATTCGATTCGTTCGTTGGAGCAAAGTGACAGAGAAGGAGAAAAACATTTTTCAAATGTCACTTTGCTGCAAACGAACTAAACGAATAAAAAACGAAAACGAAACGAACGTTCGACCGAACTACCGCTACCAAATTTCGTCCGAATTGACTTTCACAACCGAATCCCGAAAAACGAAATAACACAAATCCGAATTTAAAACTAACGAAACTAAACACATTTTTTCGCAGTGCACATCTCTAACGCTTACCCTCTTCTGATGCAATGCCCCCCCCCCTCTCTTCCATTGAATTGTCCAATGCCATAACCTCAGCGAACAGCAAAGGCCCCTGCTTTTGAAAATGTAATGATGATAACAAGGTTTAGACAGGGTAGGTCTTAATCTTGACTTGAGTAGAATAACAGCTTGGGCCAAAGATCTAAGTGGTCTCCACAGCAATAGAGAGATCAGTTTGAAGACTAACACAGGTCATTTGACCTTGAAGTTAACGTGTGCTAACAAACGTTCAAATGATTGCTCCCTCGTGTACTTTCTTGCATGCTTGGTCATATGACTTGTAGTAGCTCTGCATTTCAGCCACTGAGCGCAATCTTCATTGTCTTTTGCTATAGTCTGTGCTGAGGTCAATTCCCCATTGTTACCATGGGACAAAAGATGTAAATTCAACACAGCACTGGACCAAGTATTTTTTCTGAGGCAGACCCTTTAGGTTGGGGTTTACTTTAAAGGTATTACACTGACTGAAGAATGTTAGACAAAATCTGCCCTAACTGCACATATCATGGCCACAGATCATATACGAAAATACACTAAACATTAGTATTTTATACCACACATGCAGAAGAGGATTAGTGCAGACAAAGAGTAAATTAAGAATCATTCTACCTAGTGTTCTCTTTGCTGTGGATAATATTGTAAAAATAGATACATTGTTCCTTACTTGTCAATGACTTATGGTAAATCAATGCTTTTTAAAATTATTTTATGCTGCGGTTTCTATGCCAGGGAAGTCTATAAGCTCCTTAATGCGGGTGCTTTAAAATACTAATGCACGCTGAAAGCTTTTAGTGGATTTCATATTAAAGCTATAAATAACAGGAGACGTTTCTAGGAGGTGGATATTGAATTGTAGAATGGTGCATAGAATAAGCTATATGTAAAGCGATTCATATGTGTTATTTTTGGCAAAGGGTGACTTCATGTAATTACATTAACAGAGCTGGCCTTTTCCCGGAGATTGCGTCTCTAGATGAGACAGATTTGTCCTTGAAAATAACTCTGCATAATGCAAATGTATTATAGCATAACGTAGTGGGTATTCTGTATATAAAGCAAGCATGTCCCCAAGTCCCCTAGTAACATACATTGTGTTCTTTTTCAAATCAAAATCTGCCTAGCAACTCTGGGGAACGATGATGTAATTCTGAACTCAGTTTGCAAGAAACTTTCTTTCAGATTGGACAATGCTAAGGATATATACATACGGCACTCACCTGCAGTGCTTCAATTGTCCCATATTTCCCTCCTCCCTAGACCCCCTCCGCTTTTCCATACCAGTCTGCAGATTGTAGCAAAGTATGGAATGTGTCATGTGATTTTTTTTATCAACTGCCACCCAGGCCACAGGCAATATATCCACTTCAGACATTATAATTCCCCATACGAGTAGTAGAATAAAACTTTAAAATTAAACTCTGATTAAAGGTGTGAAGCTTTGAATGCACAATCCACGGAAAGACAGGGAAGGGACTAGGATTCTACATAGAGATCATTGGTCTCTTTATAAAACCTTTGTTCTATAGATTCTCGGGCTAATAAAATCAGATCATGATGTGGCACCATTTTCTTTCCTTCCTTGCTAACTTTTCTTTCTTTCTTCCTCCCACAACTTCAGTTAAAATGCATAGAACCTTAACACATTCTTTGTGTCTCCTTTACAGTAATTCATGTAAAGCCTTTTTCCTTTCATGCTCCTTTCCTTTTTCCTTTCTAATGGTCCACTATGGTAGATAATATCACCTTTAAAGATGATCTATTTAAGCAGTAAATTTGTAGCACAATTGAAAAAGAAAAACCAGAACATTATTGCAAATTAAATCTAAGAAATAATAACAACCAGATGTGACCAGATAGATGTTTGACTACTAAAATCTATAGGTCTGTTGATCTAAAGTGGTTCAGTCTGGTAAAAGTTAACCCCGTGGGCTTACTTTTTATAGTGCAAGGTAAAATGAAACTAGATGTACTAAATAGTGATGTAGTGAAATAAGATAATGAAATAGATGGATGTCCCGGACCATAACATAACCACTTTAATAAGTCAGAACGACCTGCAGCCACCAGGATGGTGCATTAAAAATGTCAGTAAATAGCTAGTCTGTGCTTTTTAATCCTGCTGGCTGATTACTTTCTGGCTGCACCGGAAACATGCAGCTCATATTTGTTATATAGACATGCAGACCTGATCCATTAGCTTCTGTGCCCATTAAAACATAACTCTAAGGTTTGTTTTACAAGGCAGTGACATGAACAGTGATGATGCCCTCTAACAGTTGTGGTCAACTAACGAGGTATATTGGGCCTCAATTCCGGCCCCTGATATCACCAAGGGGCCACCACACATAATATTCAGTATAAGTAATGCTAAAGAAGACTGACTAAACACATCCTACAGGAGATGGTCAGACACTGTGGAAATGCTGAAGGTGACAGAGACTGGGGACATGTAAAAAACTAAAAGAAGTCACTGCAATTGCAGGTCATTTACTAATAATGACCCACTCCCACTACTGACTGCTGGGGTCTGGGGATCGTACATCAAGTACCAAAGGGCTGCAGATTGGTTACCAGAGCCCTGTAACTTGTAATAATGTAGAAAAGCAACATACACTTCACCTTTCTTCAATCTGTGATGCTAAATGGAAAGAGGATTGCTGATATAGGTTTCTCCATTTTGCAATTCCCTGCCAGATTAATGGTAACCAGCTCTCTTGAGGCTTACCTGGTTTAATGGCCTCACACAGCACTGCATACTAGTTCCAGTGCATGCACATTCTAATAGTGTCTTCATGTTATAAATAAGTTCAATTAGGTTAGTGACTTGATGTTAAAAAAATGTGCAGTTTTACTTTTATTGTTTTTTATACATGAAAGAAAACCAAGTGCTGATATGGTTGATTTGTTTTCTGAATTTCAGGCCTGATTATTGTGCCCAGTGCTGGTGTTGGGATTGTGTTAGGTGGCTACATCATCAAGAAACTTAAACTGAGTGCAAGAGAATCTGCAAAGTTGGCAATGATCTGTAGCGGTGTGTCCCTGCTCTGTTTCTCTACCCTGTTCATTGTGGGATGTGAGAGTATTAATCTTGGTGGAATTAATATACCTTACACTACTGGGTAGGTATACACTTTGATCACATTTTTTTCCAGTAACAGTTTTGGTAGTACATTTGCCTTGCTTTGAGTTTAATATCCCAGGGCTGGATTTCAGGTAGATGCACTTTATGGACATGTTTGGGTTATCATTTAGTAAAAAATGTTTGTAGCTGCACAGTTTACACCATCTTGTATATAATAAAAAAAACAAACCCACATCTAACTAATTAGAAATGTCCCTTTTCTGGCTGTTCACACAGGTAATCTTGCCATAGCTGAGCAGACCTGAACCAGAAAAGGCAAAGTTCTAGTCCTAGTAATGGTTATGTAAAGTCCTTTTGCTTTACATAACCATTAATGTTAGACACAATGTTATAATAAAGGGATGGCCTACTAAGGCCTGAACCTCTCCTGTCCTAGGCAGGGCCCTTTTCACAGTTTAGGACCTATTGTTCTGATATTGTCATAACCAACTATTTATCAATGTTGTTTGCTGGAGATATTCATTATTATAATTAGAGTAGCACCGAAATGAACATTTGTAAACATACTCTGTCTGATCGCTGAGTGTTTGTACTCGCTCTCCTTCCTGACAGCTATCACAGGAGACTAAGCGAGCTGAGCTCAGCCTGCTGTGACAGCACTGGCTGTCTCTGGCCACACTGCTCTCCTCTGTGACAGGAGGCTGAGAGGTGCGGGGAGGAGCGATGCCGGACGCTTACAGCGCTCTCCTCCCGTGCCATTTTCGGCCGATATGTTTCGGCACCCAATATATCGGTGCATCCCTAATTATAATCCAACTTTTTCGTTATTTCACTATATGTAGCACAAATTACAAAAGCACGTGAGACCTATTAATGTGGGTGTGCATGTAAACCTGCTCCCTCTCTTTGCATTTCTAAGCTGCAGCTTTACAATCCATTATTTCCCTCCCCAGAAAAAAACTAATAGTACCTATCCACAGAGTTCGCATCCTCTTCAGCTCCATTTATCCTTGAAAACCTTTCTCTACTTTGAAAGGAACCTGGGATATTTGTTTGTTACAAGTTTCTCACAAAGCAGAGAACCAAGAATATATATAGTGCATCTTCAGAAACAGGTCACCAGTAGAACCTTATATATTTCTATCCTGATAGGTTCCCTTTAAATCATACATATGAATCCACAATATGCAGGAGTGATGGGAGATTTTACTTTATACCGAAATTAGGAGCAACTGTGAGATCAGTAATCCATAAAAAGTGCTTTAGGTATAGCAATACTTTTCTTACATATTAGCTCAACTACTCTCCCCTCCGTCCCCCTCCTAAAGTCATGTATATTTGCCACTGCAGACCTCAGGTTAGCAGGCAACCTTGTCAAAAGCTTTCAAAAATGCTTTTCTAATGGGTATAACACTCACCGACTTGTATTAGTAATTTCTAAGTCACTGACCTGAAACAAGCTTACAGCAAGGCAGGCTAGTCTTTATCTGCAATCTTGTTGTAGGTCAGTAATCGAATGAAATATGTAATGAAAGTAATGAAATAAGAGGATCAGAAGGAAGGCCAAGCAGCTAGCATTTTCAGAAGGAAGTCAGCAGTCACTGCCTTCATATACCATATTTTAGGTTTCCTTTCATTCCACTATACCTATTAATTAGAATATCATAAACTGGAATGTATATATTTAATCAACCTGTAATCAGAAATAGAAGATATGTAACATCATTTTGAGATCTGGACATGCAAAATAATTTTGTCTACACGGTAGCTCACATTTTGTAGCAAGTGTAATTTGTTCTACTTTCCTTCCCAGCCCCACATTAACGATGGCACACAGGAATCTAACAGGTGGCTGTAATGTTAACTGTGGTTGTAAAATACATGAATACGAGCCAGTGTGTGGATCGGATGGAATTACATACTTCAATCCTTGTCTTGCTGGATGTGTCAATGTGGGAAATCAAAGCATTGCTGTAAGTACAAAATGTGACCTGCCCGCTGACTTTGCTGCTTGGAAGTGAAGAAAGGTCCTCATATTTATGAGGTTATGACTGTGAGATTTTATAAAGCGTTGAATGTAACATTTACTGCATGCTCAGAGCAAATTCACTAGAGAATCATTCACCATATTCAGAAAACACACTTGCCTACACATACACTGGATTAATAAACATCCAGTGCTTTTTTTTGTCACACATTAACTGGAGAATCATTCACCATATTTATAAAACACATCTGCATGCAATGCACTGGATTAAGCATTATTCACTGCTCATTCACTACACATTCAGTGCAGAATTATCCACCATATCCGTAAGGGTCTGTGTTGAGAGGCTTGTGTTGATGGCATCAGTTTGACATCAGTTTGAGACCATTCCGATCTTAAAGACAGGTGCATTTGAGCTGCAGTTTCCTCTTCCTGACCTGCACTTGACCTGCTTTAAGCAGGTCTTGCATTCCTATAGACTTGTATGGGAATGCAAAACCTGTCTCATGTTAACAAAGACTAGTTTATACAGACCCTCAAGCACATTTGCCTTCACTGGATTAGGCAAAATCCCTACACCTTCTCTAATGCCTGCTCCTCAGTGGAAACGTTTCTTACTGTTCTATTTACCCTATTAATAATTTTCAGAATGTGACACAAAGCATGGGTTCAGAGTGAGAAATGAGTGTTAGCTTTTGGCTTTATCTGTGCTGTATGGAGGTGCCTTCTTCATTAAGCTATCATAAGTGCTGGATCTATCTTGCTGTGTCTTAACTGGATTACAGTGTTTGACAATAAATAATTATGTAAAAAAAACAGTCCCAAACAGAGCTGGCACATTTTGATGGTCCTTGGATCTTTAACTTTACAGGGTGGTTGAAATGACCACAATGGATAGCACTGTGTATAACGAGGTAGAGAGATGAATGTGGCAGTGCCATTCATCTTCTGTTGCAGAGAGGCTTCTCTGCTTGAGTTCCCTGCCCAGGAAATTGTAGCCCCATTATAAACACAGCATCACAGGTTACAAAGTGCTGCATCCTATTTTATATGGAAGTTTTAGTTTTCAGTTATTGAGATTGGTTTACGTTTATCTAAACCCAAAAACAAAAATGTAATTTCTCTCTTGTTCATTAAAGGACACAGGATTCAGTTATTCTGAGACAATTAGGTTATACTGCCACCTTCAGGAGATTTGGACACTACCAAATAATTTTTTTTTTAAAGTGATATTAAAGTCAAAAGGATTTTAAACTATTTCAAATGCTGATTAAATCACTCACTGAAAACACAATGAATGCTGCTCCTTAATTTTAGTTTTAGTCCCCTAGGCACTAGTCCTGACTTCCTGTTTTAGAGTGACTCCTTTCTCAAGCAGAGAGGTGTGAGGGTCTCCACAAACACGGCAAATCAAGGTGCTTCCCTCCCCCCTGCCCCTCTCCTCCCTTCTTCCCAAGCTAGTAGATGAACAGTTGCTGGAGTTTGGTCTGTCCTTTGTGATCTTGTACTGGGCAAGAAGTTCAGGGAAGAGGAGCTGAGAGACTTGGAAGCAGCAGTTCAGAAACATGATGACTGTAAGTATTTGGGCAAAAAAGTATAGCAATGCTTTGCTGGGCAATGTACTGTATATTTGTTTGATCTGGATTCATTATTGAAAACAAATTTGAGAGTTTAATACTACTTTAAGTCTGCCGCCATATAACTCCGCCTCCAACCATGATTCCTCCGTTTTTCTACTGTTCTAGGAAGTTGGATGAGTTTCCTCTGCTCTGCTGAGATAATTTTTCTATTTTTTTCCAATTAATTATGGAAATATTTTTTCCATATTATTTCTTTAAAATACATTCTCATTACCCCACTGGTGTTTTTTCTTCTAAATCAGGATGTTTAGGGGACTACCAGAGCTGGTTTCTATAAAGCAGCTATCCAGATCGGTGTTTTCTCAGTGATACTTTGTCCATATATGGACCCCACCAGACCGAAGATTACGGGAGAAGCCTGGAATGTGACCTTCGGACACTGCGCCCTGTTTGTGGCACTTCAAGTTAGCTGCAGAATGCTCTCCAGGCTCAGGGTTGTGGCACAGCCTCTGGTTATTTTTAATCATATCAATTTTGGGAATATTTTTATATGGACTATATATAAGTTGGAGTGAACATGTTGTATAATTGTCACTAAGTATATGCACTTAGAGTTTTATAATATTAGATATAGCGCAGTGTCTTTTGTTTAATATATTGTGGGAGAAGTTTATATAGCTTCTCTCTATCTTTGCAGCTGTCAATAGGGTGTTTTTGAGGAGTTTGGGGTAGAGCACTGTAGCTCGGATAATCATTTGTTTTGCTACAGCCTCTGGTCTGACCCAGTCTCTGAAGTCTCACTCTACAAGTAGACCCATGGATGGGCCGAATATAGCCTGGAATGTAACCTTTGGGCAGTGGGCTCTGCTTTTGGCTCTTTCCAGACCTTGTGTACTGTGCTAGTTACCTGCAGATCGCTCTCTAGGTACAAAGCAATGGCATAGCCCTCTGGTTGAACCCAGTTTCTGTAGCCTCTCTTAGTAAGTTAGGCCATCCAGCCTTTCTTATGTTTGGCAAATGACATAGCTGTATCTAGATCCCACCGCTCTGTCTGGTACAGAATTTCCCGGTCATGTGACCTTGTGCACATGGCTCTGCATGAAACAATCTGCTCTCAATTTCAAAGCATCTGCAATCTAATTTTGATCCATCTAGAACCCTTTCTCCATCCTCTATTAGCGGTGACTCGAATTTGTCAAACAATGTCTCAATGGATTACATCTTTAAAAGCTAATCCTCTTACAAAGAGCAAGCCTTTTGAGCTTCTCAACTAATTGAGCAAATGTCTGAAGCCCTTGTCTGGCCTCTCTGAGGCATCCAAATTGGTGTCACACGTGCCAGTTATGTCTGTGTTTATGCACAGGGCACTTCGACTACGTGTCAGGGACGTAATTGATACATTTAAACAATGCCTTATTCACTTGCCATTCAAGGTAAGGTGTATTTTTGGTCATACGTTTAACAGTGATATGCCAAAACCTTCTCTTGTGCTGGGTGGTCACATCAGACCACGAGATCAAACAGAAGTACCAGTCTTAAGCTAGTACAACTGTATTATCTCATAAACATTCTATGTCTGTCTCCCATGCGAGCCACACATCTCATAGTCATAAACCTTCTGTTTATAAGTAAACCCCCATTTTTTCCTGTGGGTTGTTTCCAATTTTATTGGGCCTCTCAGAAGTTTCTTGCTTTCAGTTGAATGCCCCGGTTTCAACCTGTAGCTTCCGTTTAGACCCTGCAACGTGATTTCTGGTTCATTTGCTTTTTATTTTCCTGAAGTTTCTTTACCCCAATGTACATAATCCTGAATTAGTTAGGCCCACCACACACTAGAGCTTAAGTCATCCTATGTTGCCTACAGTCTATCTAATTAGGTCTCTCTCATCCTTTTCATTCTTTAGATTACTATTGAGATGGCTGTCATATTATAAGTCTTCCTTTCCCTGAAGTCAAGGGTTATGAGTATCCTATGTCTACCCCCAGCTGTTTACTGGTCGGTATTGGTTGGGACTTAACTGCTCTTTTTCATCTAGGGACTAAAATAAAAAGTTCTACTCACCTGAACCTTGAGCTGGACATTGTTACATGTGAGGTTCAGCCTCTGTCTTCCTGCTCTGCAGCGATGGTATGTCCCTCGGCATTCTCACATTTAATACACAGTGTATAGAATGTGATAACTCAAGGATCCTTAGACTGCTGCAGGGGAGGGGGAGAGACGCTGATCGATCTAACAACAAGCCGACTCAGAAGATCAGGTGAGTGTGACTTATTTATTGTAGTCAGTAGACAAAAACAAGTAGTTAAACATTGCAGTATGGAGTAGCCCCACTGCAAAGGTTAATAACACTTGTTCCTGGAGTTGTTCTTTAAGTATTCTAGGCTTTGGTATTTGCCATAGAAAACTTTGTTTTTGTTGACCACTTTAGCTGTTAGATTAAGTTTTCTTCCACCTGTTTTTTCTTATGGTGGTTGACTCCATTCTTGTTGAGGTCCAACATTCTTTCACATAGCAGCCTACCCCTAGTGGTGCTGCCTGCTCTGGAACACCAGATTCTTCTTGGTGCTATTCCTTGTTGGTAAACAATCTTTCTCATCTAGCCTTGTTCAGGCCTTAATTTCTTTGGATATTCTTCTCATAAGATTTTAAAATTTTCTCAGTGGTTGTTGCCCACCCGCCAGTTGGACTGCTTTTCTATCTTCCAGCTGTATCAGAATAACTGTATCCTGTGTCCATCAACAAACAAGTAAGAAAAGAGGATTTTTGGGTACCAAAAAAAATAATAATTTTGTTGGGAGTTCAGTAAGGGATAGTGTTCTGCTCCTCTGTGCTATTAGCCTTATGTACTGCTTGCTCATAAAACTAAGACAGACAATTGGAGATGGGTTTAAATAAGGGCTGGCTCAACTTTTTTTTGTTTGCAGTGTCCAAACCTCTTGTATGCAGTAGTATTGTATTTTTTACTTAGTGCTCATAGATCTATGCTATTGTAGGTATAGCACCTAAAGTAATATCCCCTCCTGAAGAAGCAGGTCATCCTGCAAAATGTGTATAAGATATTTCTACATTGCAACCCTTTTCGATTTCAAGGATAAAGCCTTGCTTTTAAGTATGACTGTTTTAGGATGATTTTTAAAATTGCATTTTTAAATATTCTTGTATCTTTGCATGCACTAAGAGGTGCCTGAAAAGTTAGCAAAAGGGACTAAAATGGATTTAGAGGTTTATTGTACATTCTCAACCTAGTGATAAATAGGACATTAAGAACTCACTAGATTTCTAGAAAGATTAACAGGTATTTGTGAAACTTAAAGGAGAACTATGGGGTTAGGGCTTTTCCTCATAGTTCTCCTTAGGGTAATGGGAGGACACAAACTAGCGTCCTCCCGTTACCCTAAGCTCAGTATACCGCGAGCTACAGCTCGCGGTATACTGAGACGCCGCAGCCGGAGCGGATCCCGACATTGATGTCGAGATCCGCCCAGCTGTGTGAGTGACAGCTTGCTCTGCCTATCTTGAGGCAGAGCCAGCTGTACCCGCTCCCTCCCCCGTCCGTTCCGCCAGTCAGCGCTGGCGGATCGGAGCGGGGAGGGAGGAATCCAGCCCCTCCCCTGTCACGGCAGAGAGCCGTGACAGGATCGAGAGGTGAGCGAACGCCGGTATATGTTCGCTCACCTCCCGATCTACTGAGCCGACCTGTGACAGTCTCATTGTCACAGGTCAGCTAGAACTATGAGGTGAGTGAGAAGCACTCACCTCATAGTTCTCCTTTAACAGAAAGATATTTAAAAAAAACACTTTTAATAGTATATTTAACAATTTTTAGGCTTTAGATACGCTTTAAATCTACAGGTAACCAGGGGACCTAGTAAGTAAATTGCATTCATATATAATTTGCTAGAAAAGGGCCTCTTGTGGAAAGTGATGTCCATCCTGACACATAAACTGCCTCCAACCTCAACGCAGAGAAGGCCTTTGTCCCACGTAAGCAGAGGTAAAAATGGGCTGGAGGTGAACCTCTGCATAGATCTTATACAGGCCAGTCATTTCTAGGCAGTGTTTAGGCACTGATAAGTTATAAAGGCATAGTTATTATTTTATAGTACAAGACATTAAATTGAATCTTTCATAAGTAACAAAAGTGTTAAATTGCAGTTACATTGTAGTTCCTGCAAGTATCTATGTTTGTCTCAAATTGATTGCCCAGGTTCCTAGAATCAGGCTGTATATAGCGTCTTGACTTCAGGTAGATAAGTCAGGTAGATGAGATTAAGCCAACCCTGTATTATTCACCTGTTATGTGCCAGAATTCCATTGCAGTAAAGACTTTGGCATTGAAAAGTTGAATGGCAGGTGGGGCTTTTTACTGGGAGTGGGGGGTTTAGTTTTTACTTGGGCAGAGGTCAAGGGTCCATTTACAACCTACATCTGGAGCCATGAGGATCCCACAGGGTACACAGGGATTGATTTAAAGACTAACTAGGTTACTTTAGGCCTCCACCTCAGCACTGTTACCTTAGAAGCATTTCAGGCCAGGTCAGGTTCATTTTCATGTCTACAATTTAATATAAATGCATAGGTATTCCTAAAAGTTCACCAGTGATAATAAAAATAAGAAGGATTTGTGAAGATTTTAATGCATAGCTATATCTAATGCCATAGATATAATTATCACACTATGCCTTAAAGGACAACTGTACTTTTGAAATAAACTCTTCTAAGCCACCCTTACCCCTCCTGAACTGACCTGCACTAACAACCCCCACCACAGCTTTTTACTTACTCCAGTAGTAGCAGAGCCACATCCTGTGCAAGGTTTACATCATCTTGGGCAGAATTCCTCTTGGTGCTGGCTGTATCTGGCACCAAACACTTGCATGCGCCATCCCAGAAGACAGCTCCAGCATCCGGGCCACATACAAGTCTGTAAGGGTTCACTGTGCGGGTATGGTTTAGTGTTAAATAGGATTTCTGCCTGTAAAGAAGTAAACATTGCACAGAACATGCCTCTGCTACACAGATAAGTAAGAGGCTGGAGGTGGGATGTTAGTGCAGGATAATTCAGGAGAAGTGGGCGGTAGATCAGATAATTTTTAGTTAGAAGTACAGCTGTCCTTTAAATACTTTGAGCCACTGACTCTGAAGTAAAAACATCTTACTTTTCTCAGAGTTTGCTAATTTGCATACACGGACAAAGTCGCCTTCCAAGCTAGTAGGTGCACAGCTGGTGGAGACTGCGCTGTCACTTGTCATCTTAACAGGAAGTTCAGGGAAGCCGAGCTGAGAAAGTTGGAGTCAGCTGTTTGGAAACATGGTGACTAAGTGCTTGGGCAAAAATGTAAATAAATACTTTGGTGGGCAATGCAAATTTGGTTTGGCTGGATTCATTACTGAAAAGAGGTTTGATACTTTAATAATACTTTCAATCCAGTGGGTCAGCATGTCAGCCAGCTAACTAGCATTTTCAGAAGTCTGTTAGCAATGATACCCCTGTATTTCTGTCATGACATATTTACTTAGAAAAAAATTTCAGATACACTTTTAGCTGTACTTTGCAAAGACAGATCCTGAAATCCAACATATTACTGTTTATTATGACCATATACACAGAATGACTGCTTCCTAGGGCTGGGAGCAGTGAGGATTTTGTAATGACTACAGGCCTTTTGAAAGGCTGCCAGTCCTAAAAGCTGTTCAGAGACGCTATCACTTTCAGGATGGGGAGATGATTTCACTATGTGGGTTGTAAGTCCATGGCATGTTGGCATTTTAGTGATTCAAGTACTGAGCCAAGGCAACCTGAGAAGTCTGCACCACCCTAGGTTATTGTGCCACTGTCATTCTGGACAGCCGTGAGAAGTCTTTTCTGGTTCTAATTCAACCTACCTTTTCCTCCATGCTGTGATCTTGATTACAGGACTGTACCTTCTGTCATCATATCAGCTGTGTTTTTACAGAATAGTGTTCTCATTCCAGGCTTTGACTTGACTTGTGCTAGTAGCTCAGATCTTGTTTCCAATTAGTTTCTGGCATTTATTTATATAGAAGGATCAGTGTGACTGATTGAAATGAGAGAGGTATATTCTCTCACCAACTTGTCTAACCTTAGACATACTGACTACCAGCTGGCCTGCTTATTCCTATTAGGAATGTGCTGGGGCATTTCATCTACTCTATTCAATCTATTCCATATAAGTCATGAGTTGAAGGGCACCTGTCTGTTTGTAACAAACATGTCACAAGAGAAAGGGGCAACAAAGACAGTATACTTATCTAGTTAGGAACGTTTTCTAAGCACCTTTCACCCATGATAATAAAGAGGAATGCTAATGCTTTTTAGTTTTTTTTTCCATCTCATTAAGTTAAAACATTTTAAAAAATGTTATATATACATACATATTGGGGCTGATACTTGACACCAAGGCTGTAACTGCTTTTTCAGTTAGAGTTGTTCCTGTTGGTTTTGGTCCCTAGAGCCTGGCCATGTAGAGTGAGGTTGTGCTCCCTGAACCCCTCTCCATGCAGTATTGTCCAGGCTTCGACATGCAGTATGCAGTGTTTAAAAAGGTTCCTTTTTAGAGAGCGTGTTCAAGGCTCTTCAGTGCTTTCTTCTCTGGTGAGAAGAAAGTTCTGAAAATGTACATTGCTGAGTAAATGTAGGCAGAGGAATCTCTACTCACTCATTCACTAGCATGTGTACATTTCTACTTGAACTACTGAGCTCACTAAACAACCTCTTCTACAGCCCAACCTTACAGTAAGTTACAGCGGGGCTTAAAGAAGAGTCAAACAGCCCTCATTAAACCCTGATCACACAAATTAAATAAGCACAGTGTCTATTTGTTTGCCCTCATCCTTTCCCCAATCTCTGCTACAAACAGATGCACAATAACCCTGAGTGACAAACTCCTGGCTACACCTTCATCACAAAATCAACACAATTTATTGGCTTAAAATAATATTATATAAACATCAAAGATAACCCTTCCTTCCCATGTTTGTTGCAGGTAAGAAATTATACTGAATGTGCCTGTGTCCAAAGCCGACAGGTCATAACTCCATCAACAGTGGGCCAGCGCAGCCAACTCCGAGTGGTTATTGTCAAGACCTATCTGCATGAAAATGGTTATGCTGTGTCGGGGAAATGTGATCGAACCTGCAATACGCTCATTCCATTTCTGATATTTCTCTTTATCGTTAGTCTCATCACAGCGTGTGCACAACCCTCAGCCATCATCGTGACTCTCAGGTGAGAAGCAGGATTTCATATATACATTGCATACATACATAACTGCAGGATGCTCATTCAGGATATGTGCACATGTCTTTAGATGATAAGGCCTTTATGTAAAAAAATCAACAAAGGTTCCTCTGATTCTTCTGCTTCCACATACACAACAATCCCACTTAGGAAACAATGACTAATAATCCAGCAAGGTATTTTTTTCTGTTTCAATACGTTTTAATGTCTCTTATCCAAAGTCATTATAATATTGGGTTATATTTAATGATATTTCTTTCGATTAGGCTAGCCATTGTGAGATGAGGAAGATAGGACAGAAGGAAAGAGCGTGGGAAGAAGAGGGAAGTCGTGTGAAGGGAGGAGAAAGGGGGTGGGGGTAGGAAATAGGAGGAGTATTTGGGAGGAAAAGAAGGGGAGATAGAAGTAGAGAAAAAGGTGGTTGTCTCTCATCCCTCGGCAAAGTAATTATTTTTATAGCCCTCTGATATAAGTGCTGGAAATTCCAAAAACTATTGCAGTGGATGAATAATCAAGCAGTGAACAGTGTTGGTAGTAAACTCTTTGTGCTGCTGAACCCTATAACAGTGGTGTAGGCGCTGTAATTATACCTTTTATTGTACACCATCAGTGAAATATTTATAAATAGACCCCTAAGTGTTAACCAGTAGTATTTAGTCACATTCAATTGGACTGAAATATGACTAAATATGACTGGCTATATCATGACCTGGATAACTGAGAACCTTCACAGACATTCTGAGTGTTGGCTTTTCTATTCTAACATACTGTTTGCACTGATCATTTATCTGTGCATACAAAACATTCTGAAATTGTAAACCAAACAGTGTTTATGTATTTTGTGTGCATCCTTTCTCTAAGGAATGCAGTTGGCTAGGTAGACAGCTTGTGTATTTTCCCTGTAGATATCTCCTGCAATATGACATTTGGAAGTGTAGATTAGAGGCACACAGGGAAGCTTGCTTTCAACCACACATGATACAAGTTCTATAGCCTGTGAACATATTCCTCTACCATTCTGCCTCATTTGTTTCGTCGCCAGCATCCTGGAATGAACTTTATGAAATATCACAGGCTTTCAGTATGTACAGTTCCAGCCTAAGGCCCATTTTTTACAGAGCTGTTCACTTTAAAGAGCAACTAAATGTGCATTAGGGGAATCATATATAGCAGAGCCTAATAATAAGGGGAAGGAATAATGGTTTAGTACAGGGGTCCTCAAACTTTTTAAACGGGGGGCCAGTTCACTGTCCCTCAGACATTGTTGGGGGCCGGATCAGGAAGCCAGGAGGCGGGTCATGACATGCTGCCCAGCTTCCTGATTGGCTAGGCAGCAAGCTTCAGTTGGTAGGCAGCCTGGCTTCCTAACCAATCAGTAAGCTGGGCGGCACGTTCTGACCCACCTCCTGGCTTCCTGATTGGCTAGGAACCCGGCTTCACTTTTTTCTAGGCAGCCTGGGTTCCTGACCAATCAGGAAGCCAGGTGGTATGCCATGACTTGCATCATGGCTTACAGATTGGCTGGGAAGCAAGCTTCACTTGTTGGTAGGCAGCCCAGCTTCCTAACCAATCAGGAAGCCGTGACACGAGTCATGACGTACTGCCCGGCTTCCTGATTGGTCAGGAAGCCAGGCTGAATAGAAAAAATTGCTGCAACAGAGCGTGCTGGTTACTACTTAAACCGGCGCACGCTGTGTGCAGCTTCTGAGAATATACTCTATTAGCGCTAGGAGCGAGCGGCGGCCCAATTAGAGAGCCGCATCTGATGCAGCGGTGACGCGCCCCCCCCACTACGACACTGGGAGGGAGTGAAGACAGCGCCACCCGGTGCCTGTCACCCGCCGCCCTTCACCCGCATCTCATCGCCCACAACCCACCACCAGGAGCGGGCCGTGTTAAGGACCCTTACGGGCCGGATGTGGCCCGTGGGCCGTAGTTTGAGGACCCCTGGTTTAGTATGTATTTTCGTTCTTTCTCTGTTATATTCAGGACTAAAATAATTTTTTAAAATACTTTTTTTATTTTTAGATGCAAATGCCAAGGCATGAAATATTGCATATGAATATTTTTATATTTACATTCCAGCCAGCAGAAGTTCTGGACTCTTTTTTTACATCCTGCCTTGTGTATTCTTAGACAGAGCTACATAGTACACACACACACACACACCAGTAAATGTGTAAGACCAGTGACTCTTCCACCTTCCGTCTGTTTAGAAGGGACTTTATTAATTTTATTTAGAGGAAGAAAGTTTGAAGGCAAATTGTTTTTTTTGTGAACCCCTCTCAAAGCTTCCCAAATGCTGAATGCTTGTGGGCTGGCCATGCTATTAATATAACAGGGGGCTGCATGCTTGCACCTCCCTCACTATGTGGGGTATTAGCCTAAATACATGACATACCAGGCTGGTATGACCTTTAACCTTCATAGTGCATACACGGTATATAAACAGTTTCAGCACCATGGAGAGCTAACACAGGCATGTCTACAATCTTGTCCCTAAAGTCTTTTGACAGCTCTTTGGTCTTGCCCATGGTGGTGAGGTTTGAATGGAAGAAAGATTCTGTGGACAGGTGTCTTTTATATACATAACGAGTTGTCGTTAGGAGCACCTTCTTAAATGGACAGGACTAATCTGTGTACCACATAGCCAGTCTGTGGGAGCCAGAATTATTGTTGGTTGGTAGGGGATCAAATACTTATTTTATTCACTGAACTGCAACTCAATTTATAACATTTGTATCATGTGTTTTTTCTGGATTTTTGGTTGATATTCTGTCTCTATCATTTAAAATACACCTATGATAAAAATGATAGACCTTTCATCTCTTTGTAAGTGGGCAAGCTTACAAAATCTGCAGGGGATCAAATAAATATATTCCTCACTGTAATTTGTATGCTCTTGGCTGCCTGCATAATAAATAGAGTAAATGTGAGCAGAAACTGATGGGCGAATCCTGGCAAAACTTTGGGTGACTCTTTTGGGTGAATATTTATTGGGCCTGGGGATTCTTTGATAAATAGATTCAAAATAGTCCTATTTCTAGCTAATGACCCGTTTAACAGTTTTAGTTAAATTGAAAGTAAAGTCCATTTTAAAAAAAATGCTGATAGGTCAGGTTTTTATGACAGACAAGACTCTACATATCTCTTCTGTCATAATTGCTTTCTCCTGCCTGTCAGCGTTTGTATACACTGAGACCCGCAGGCACAGGAGTTACATCATCCCTACCAATCAAAGGGCTGAAGACACCGAACATGGAAGAAAACTTAGGTACCAGCGATAGAGCAGAGCGCTGACATTGCAACGCTGGAGGGCATCGTCTGCAAGGTAAGTCCGCCATAATGTGCTAATATGCTGTGCACACTAACACCTCTTGAGGGCCTATATTTTCATTTTCTACTGTCTTAAATAGAAACTGACGGTTTCCCAGAGCATTGTAGACATGTAAGCTTGTATTTGATGGTTATAAGTAACACCTTTTTTTCATTAATTCTTATTTCTTGCCTTGCAACTTGGTTGTTAAATCTTTCTGAACCTGGCGACCAGCAGTTATAGCTGTTCACAGTTACTTAAATGATAGACTTTCGTTAAAGTCACAGTTCTAAGCAGCCATTCTCAGGGTAGAAAACAATTTGACTGATTTGCATTTCCAACCTGTCTCTGAGTCAGCAAAATAAACCACCTAGATTTAGATTGCAAATAGCCACTGTTTTATTTTATAAAAGAGAACCTGTAGCGCTGAGCGTGCAAGACAAGGAACGAACCATTACAACAGTTTTAAGCTCAAAAACACTTTCCTTCCTATTATATACCATCAGCACTACTATAGATGATGCACAGTCCTATTGAAGGATACAAAAATAAATTCTGCATTCTTCAATTGGATTGTGTATCATTTATAGTGGTGCAGATGGTATAAAATAGGAAAGAAAGTGTTTTTGTGCTTACGACTATTGTAACCTCTGTTAATACAGATTACAGTGTAAAATATATCAAATACAGAATATATTTAAGGTGGTAATGACAGGTTGATAACATAATCTTTATCAAACCATTTTATCTGACGATGGGTATAAGCACAATGCCATTAGTGTATAGCGGATTTATAAGAGTCCAGATGAAATCAGTTTTTTTTACTGACCCTTCCGCAAACAGGATACTGCATTTGCTTAGATGATCTCCTAAAGAGGCAAATACAGAATGAACAGTGTGCATGTGATCTGATCGCAATCCAGCTCAGTCACAATTGGCTGGCCTCTGCATAAACCCCTTCTTTTTGTAGACTGCTCTGTCATTCGAAAGCCTACCCCTGCTTTCTATGTCTTCTACATTGTGTCAATATCATATAAAGGGTGTCAGTACAGTGATTTATAGATGCAGAGACTTGTGTAACAATGTAAAATGAGCTTCAATAAGTAAATGACAGATTTGTATTCACTGACATTTACTTCATAATATTTCTGCACAACCCTTTTTATTTAGAAAGTGAAACAAAAGATGGCTCTACCAGTGGAATCATTTGATTTAATTTTTAAGTTTAATGTTAACATTTTTAATACCACCGGATGTTTTCTGTGCAGGTCTGTGGATGACGGTGAGAGGCCTTTTGCATTAGGAATGCAGTTTGTTTTGCTGAGAACTCTTGGTAAGTATTATTTTTAAATGTCTCTAAAGATTATTCATTGCAACAACAGCGGTTTATTGTACGAAACAAATAATAAAGGTTAAAGAAATCATATGTTTCAAGTTTGCTATATAGTATTCACCAGTAGTACATTTATATGTTTGGAAATTTTAGGGGAATGTAAATAAATGTCATTTTAATATGACATTTGATTTGGAAAATTTTACATTTTCACAAGTGTTGCAAGTGACGATATAGAACGAAGACATTTTGTACATTACAGCTAAATGAAATTCCTCTCTATCTCGTGGCAGTTCTAACATTTGTGATATTTACCCACAAGGTGGAGCTGTTGTTCTATTTTTAGATTTGAAATGCACAGCCATGCTCTAAGATTGGTCCTAGGTATGACAAGTTATGTATTGTATTGTCTCTTAAAAATGCACACTAGATGAGAAAAAGCATTTATAACAATATGAAATAAACATTTAAACTTTGAGAGATTGTGGCCTAATATTAGGTGCATTACTATAAATGTCCGAGATCAAAGGAAAAAATTATGGTGGTTATCTCCTTCTAGGTTAGGAGCTGATTGATGTGAATGGCTTTATGTAATCGGTAAAGTACTGAGTAATAAATCAGTGCTATATACTGTAAGTATGGGAAGAAAATAAAGAAATTAAAGGAACTTTTACCCTAAAGTTCCACAATTCTATCATAGAGACGTGAACTGCAGCCAGTGAAATACATATCAAACCAAAGAGCTATAAAAGCAGTGAATCTACCTCATAATGGACACCACATCAAATCCCCTCATAAGCAATCAAGTTAAAGACTTTGTCCCACTGGGGTTCTTCTGGGCCTATTCACACCACCAGTGTGCATTGCCACTCAAATGCTGGTGTGCACCATGATGTAATTACAGCGCATCACAGTTTAACTTTTTTCAAAATGTATTGAAATTAAATTTAATTCATTTTAATGCACTGCAGAGTGTTGCAAAGTGGTGTAGTGTGTCGCAACACTGTGCACTAAAAAAAGTACTGCATGCCCTACGTTTTCCAGCACACACCATTGCTGTGTGGTGGTGTGAAGTGACATCATAGGACACCAGGCAAATCGCCTTGTCTATTCATTGCAACTGTGTAGGGCAAGGCTGCCCAACATAGCCTGACACATTTGGTGTGAACAATATCTTATCAGCTCTTACAAGAAGGTCTTTTTTCTTCTTTATACAGTTTGTTAAATTCCTTTCTAAGTTCTTCTCAAAAGCTATTGCACTGTCCTTACATAGATTGCCAGGAGCATGAGTTTCAACAGACGTACCCTGGGAAATCTAGGCTACAAGTTTGAGCAATCTTTGGCAAATATTTAACATTTTGCTATTATGGTGCAGATTACCTAAGATTATTTATAAGTGCTTCCAACATTACTAGACCAAAACAGTACAAGACCAAAACATATCATCTAAAAAAATAGATGTTTATGTCCTCCCATATTGCCACTGTTTTAGTATTTCTAGCAAAAACTTTTTTATTCTAGGTTCTGGAAGAATGAAAGGGCTAGAGCTTTTGTCAGAAGTTGTTTTTTTAAAGAAAATTTTTACCCCAACTTCATGTCCTTACCTCCTGCTTACCTGATAACTGTAAATTCACTTTATATTACAGGAGCACTTGAACTCCCCAGCAGGAGAACAGACGGCAGAAAAAAACTGAGAGTGGTACTAACCATTTCCCATGCACTTTTTTTTAGACTCTTAGACTTTTAGACTCCCAATAATCACTGGGTTCTCCACTAACACTTTTGCCTCTGTAGGGTATCATTTCTTTTTCTCAGAGGAAAAAAAGCTCTGTCATAAACTGTCATACCCGGGTATTCAACTGACTTCATGGTGAAATTCGGTTTGGAGCTAATTGGCAAACATACAATACTAGAGATCTTGGGTGTCCTGTACCTCTTGCACACTCCTCCAATATTCTTTCTCCACACTGAAGCTTCTAAACTACAGAAACACCCAGAATCTTTTTTTTACAGATGCTAACAGCCAGACAGATCTTTTCCGTATACAAAGTATTTGCCAGATAGCTAGGATTACTAAGCTCTACAGTAGTAGGTCTTTACCATCATAGCTCCATACCTTAGCTTCATAGTGGACAACATCTTTGCTCCTTTTCTAGTTTTCTGGTCACATATCATACCCTTCAGATCAGGGCTTGCAACTGTACTCATATAATTTGAGGGGTAACCCTATCTCTGTATTCCGCATAACTGATAACCAGGATTTCTCCTCTCAGCTTGAAGTTTGGCTGATTTCACACTTTGTACTGTAAAGGCATGTGTCACATAATTGATGTTCTAAAAGATAACAAGTAATGTATTTTCCCCAGCTCATTAAGAAATTCCACATTCCTGTGACAAATCTCTTTCTGTATTTTAAACTAACGTACTACTGTATCATGGCCCTGAATGTATTATCTATTATTTTTTCGCCCTCATTAATAGAACAAGAAGGTGGTTTATTATTGATATTATATTGATATAAGATAAGAAAACATGTGGAAAGTCTCTAAAGTGAAGCTGAGGCATTTTGGATGTAGAAAAATGGGTTTCCTGGACCAGGAGAATATCAGTCTGGAGCGATTTTGCCTCTCGGAGGAGGTTGGAGCATTTGTATGGACTGTTCAGTCCTTTAGCATTGATGAAAGTTATTCGAAAAGGCATGGTTCAGAAGTAGACGATGAGGGTATGCAGGAAGTCGAGTGCATAGGTGCGGTATGGATGAAATCCAGAGCAGGAGAGTGTGGGAGGTAGTTCATCTCAGATGTGGTGGAAGCAGCAGGCAGCTTGGTTGAGTATGTGTAATGATTGAGCGAGTTTGGCTGAGGATCTCACCTGCCTGAGGTACTGCGGGGAAGAAAGCAGTGAGTTTCTTTGGGGAATGACGATTTTTTCCCCTCTTAGGCATGTCGGCAGGCGGATGAGGCAGTGTTGTGACAGGTAAGTGTCACACAGGGTCCTTCACTGTTGCTGTAATTGTCACTGATCGGGCTGGAGTGGCAGAGCTCCGTTATTAAGCAGCCATCTCGATCGCCGGCCGGACACGCCCCCCTGATATTATTTTTTGTTGTCCGCACTCTCTCCCGTGTGAACACTTGGGAGACTAACCTCAACATAATTTCTGCTGAACAATGGCAGATAATATGACCTTATGCTCTACTATCACTCTAAAACGAAATGCCTAAAAATTATTTATAGATGTATTGGAGTATACATCTATAAATAATTTTTAGGCATTTCTATATAGACCCCAGTAATACTGTACTTCACCCTTTGTTTCAAAAATTGAGGAGCCATTTTTTACATATTACCCTTATTGGGTGAAATGCATTGTAACACAGACAGACTATGAAAAGAGTATCTGCAGTGTCTCACAGGTCAGCCTACTCTTAGACCCAAAATATATTTGCTGGGTCTTAAATCAGGTTTCCTCAGTAGAAAGAAGTTGCAACTGACCTGCTTTGTAGTGTTAGCATCTTTTTGAAAAAAAAAAAAAAAAAAAAAA